ATGTTGAGGAAATAAACCAGCTTTCGATCTACCTATCTGATTTTTTAAACTCTTTGCTTCATTGTTCCACCCTCACTAAAATTCGGCGGTGCCCCCAGGGGGCAACATGCCCCCTCAACGCCGCAAACTTACCCTTCGCCTGCGCTTTTTACGACTCTACTATCGTATAGTTCGCTTTGAGACCCCTTTAAAATTGCGAGCCAGTATTATTCGCCTGCATCACGATCATCGACGGCCATGGCTGGCTCTTTTACGGCTTTTCAACCCTTTTCCTACCTGGCTATACCCAGTTCCCGATCCAGTTCCGGCCAATGAGATGCTCGGAAATGTCCCTTTGATGATGGCTCGGAGACATGAAATAGTCACGCTCCGCAACATTCCAGTCTGGCGCTCGCGCGATACTCCTTTACGCTCATTATATCGCCTTTATGAATCTATGGCTTCTGGAGAATATGCTGCCATGGGACAGGAGACGGAATATTTCTGGTACCAAAACCGGAGTCGGTGGGAATTACGCCAAATCGAGGATCCTCATGATCCGGATCCAATTCGTTATGCCATTCTCGCCTGTTTGGCTGAGGAGCTTGTTAATGCTTTTAATTGGAGATTAAGCTTGGGAATGCGACGGAATCATAAGCACATCCTTCGAGACAAGGATGAGGATCCATATCCACCTTATGATCCAGTCACCGGCCCAACTTGGACGAACAATGTGCCTCCTATATCCCAGGACGATTTGATGCATACTCCCCCGGAATTTTTAAACCGTGCTGGGCAGTTGGTCCTTGAAGAGAAGGGGGAGAGTGGCGTATTTGCCCGACGCAATATCGTCACAAATGTGGGCTGGTTATATACGATTTAGAAATTCATTTTTTAAAAAAATAGAGGGCAGGGGTCTTGAATCTCAAATGTATTTTATTCCCCCCTACCGAGACGTTTGGCCCCGGACTAACATGATGCTAATAGTATTAAGCACCGTCACAGATATCATTTCCCAATTCCCGAAGCAGCAGCGTCAAGTAAATACTTCCTCGCGATACTTTTCTCGGAACGCCACAGCCACCCTCCTCATTGTTCCCTCATCCGGGAGTACGTCGAACGAGTTGGCATTCAGAGTCCGGATATATTCGCGATCGAGAGGACTCCCATTTTTATCTTTCATCTGCTTGAGCAAAGTTAGGGCATCACTCATGTCCAACTCTGCTTTACGGCCCCTGTCACCGGTATGTATCCGCCTCATTTTGCGTTCAAGGACCCATTCGATTGGAGCCGCGAGGACGATGAGATTTGTTCCTTGGAAAAGGACAATGTGTTGTTCTTCAGCTCTCTTAAAAAGCTGTTTTCTCGTTTCGCTCGTCACGAATAATGCCAAGTCCTCGTTCACCCACTCTTCGTTGTAATCAAGGGCTCTGCCGACTTTGACTATGGCTTTGTTGAAAGGCTGCTTGATGTCGTTATCAGAAGCCCACTCGGGATCTGAGAGATAGTCCAGATCCGTGGTAGCCGATCGATTGTGGAGGTATGTGATTGCAAAATAGCCGCCGGCTGCAATCACCTTTATGGGGGCGAAAGCGGCAATAAATACGTCCTTGCCCAACTCAGTATCGAGGGCAGCAAGGCCTAGAATAACTCAAATGTTAGTCAACCATAATTTTGTTTATTTTTCTTCAGATAAATCGACTACATCCTGTCATCTCCCCACTTGCCTACCTTTTTCGAAATCTGTGGCGTCGAGGAAAACTTTCCTCTCCGTCATCGTTGCTTATTGATGCAAAGTCATAAGCGGCAGGTTGTCTCCTGGGCTTTTGGGTGTTAATAGATCTGGCACATCGCAGTATATTTCAATTATTTGGGGGTTCGAAATCTGTGACACGAAAATCTATTGCTGGTTGTGTGAAGGAAGCGAGATACAGCGGGAGGGGAAATGCGGGGCAAAGAGAAATGCAGGCATGGCTGACCAATTCTTTTCCTACAAATAAACAAAAATTATGGTCAAGAAACCATCAACTTTTTATTTCACAATCAGCTTAGCAATATCCGCTGTATGTGTTTTTTCAATCAACAAAGATTCTTGTCGTTGGTGATGCCCGGACGGGTTGTGGTCTGCAAAGCTTAAATCAACGTCACGTCACGGCAGACTTATTATTAACTAGCGTCCTCAAGCCATGTTCTCCTTCAGATATTTCCATCGGCCATGGGCTAATATCGCCCCGAATCACTTGGTTATTCGCCTTGAGGCTTGTGAAGGGCTTTCGAAGTATTTCTGGTCCGAACACGCCAAACAAATTCCTTGGCTAGTTATCCTACTCTGCCAAGAACATAACGTTATGGTTGACCCTTGGCGCAACTCGCCTCGTATTCCAATCCCCCCAGGGATTTGCCTATATAAGTAGGGACTTTCGCGCCAGTTTTGCATTCGTGTTGACGATTTTGGCTTTCACTCGCTATAACGAAATGTATAATACGCTGTGAGACCCGGTTTGTGCCTTCAACACTTGTTGGATTCTCTCTGGTTTTTCCTTTAACTACCCCTAAAACATATTTCTACCAGGATGCCTCCTAAGAGGCAAAGACGCCAGGTCGATGACCGGGCAGTTCCAGATATCCCTGATGACGCTGCAGAGCGCAAAAGGGTGTTAAATGTACTTGCCCAGCGTCGTTATAGTGAGTATCCCAAGACTGAGAAACAAAATGCAATCTCAGTCGGTATCTAATTTCCGCCCTAGGAAAACGAAAGAGAGAGCATATCGCTGCCCTAGAGGCTCGGGTACAAGATAAAAACGCCCCGCTGGCTCAAGAAGCAGCTTTAGTTGATCTAGCACCAACTGAGGAGTGCAGTGAGAATCGTCAACACTTCGAGATGTTCTCATCATCAACAGAAGGGGAGAACGGCGTAGAAGCTACCCCCCCTGCCTCGCCTGGCACTGTCCAACGCATTCAGGATGCAATATTTGACACTCTAAATAGTGTTGATTCTTCGGGTTCAGAAGCTGGATTTTTCGGCCAATCCGAAATGCAATATCTAGTCCCATCATTAACATTTGACTCATCATCGTCATCGTCGAACTCATCACCTCCCTCGACAACAATGCCCTTATCATCACCCAACGCATTCGAGTCACTTTTCCCCCTCACCCCGCCATCCCCTGAAACGTCCGCATTATCCTTCCAGTTTCTCGAAAACCTCAACCAGCAAAACATTACTCCCAACGACCTCTCCGCAACCCTTCAAACCTATCAGACCGCCACATTCACTTTCCCAGATGAGAGCACCCTCGAAATACCAACCCTCTCCCTACTCCGTGCCATCCTCACAGTTGCAGATCGCATGCACCTTAGAGAACGCGTCTGGGCCATGGACGCCACCAGCCCCTTCTACACTGGCCCAGCCGGACTAGGCAAATCCTCAAACGCGGGATCCCAAGCCTCCCCCTTCTTCTCATCAGATGGCCTCCCCATTCTATTAGAGAACTTACCCGCCCATCTCCACCCAACGCCAACCCAGCGCTTGATTCCTCATCACCCGGTGCTCGATCTCTTCCCCTGGCCCACTACCCGCGACAAGCTGATCCAAGTGTTCAGCATGCCTGCGGAACTGCGACCGGCCTCAGCGTCACATTCGATGGCGCTTGTTAATCTCATCTACGATGTGGAGGATCCGACCGAAGGGATGCGTGTGAGCGGTGTGGATCCTTTTAAGCCCGATATGTGGGAGGTTGGACAGGTGTTGTTTGAGAGGTGGTGGTGGGCGTTTGAGAGTAGGGTTATTGATGGGAGCAATCGGCTAAGGAGGAATAGGGGAAAGCAGGGGTTGATGTTGGCAGGTGCTTCTTGATTTATGAGGGATTGTTGGTGGGAAGTGTACTCACTGGACACTCTGAGGAGTGTTGTAGAATAGATAGCAATATCTCTATGCTATTTTATGCTCCATTCTAAATGCGCCATTTGGGGAAACTCCGCCAGCTGTTAGGATGCTAGTATTTGAGTTCTTTCAGTGCACTTAGGTGGTTGCTATATACTCTGAATTTTTTATCTATTTTTAGGGTCTGTATATTTCTAAAGGTAGTGTCTCTATGGGCCTTTGAATAGGCAATCCTGGTCTATAATGTCCATCAAAAAGAAAACACCGGTGTAGATCTCTTGAAGAAAAAAGACATCCATGGATATATACAGTATCTACTACCAAACCCTATGATGAGCACTAGCCAACGCTGGCACCATGACAACCAACTTCATCCGGAGCGAAGGCAACGAAAAGACCCTGAACATTAACATCATCAGCACCTTCTTTCTATATCAACTCCTGCCCCCGAAGATGTCCGAGTTTGACCTTTGAATGGAGGCACCTGGCCAGCGGCCGACGAAGTTGACCAACCAATCACGTGATCTACCTAGCCCTAATCTAAACTCTAGCGCGTACATTAATTTGCCGCCAGCAAATTCAAGGATCGTGAAAATCCAGAAAATCTCCAACAAAGGCTTCAGTGGTCCAATGGTTAGGATTCTTGCCTTCCAAGCAAGAGGTCCGTGTTCGATTCACGGCTGATGCATTAAAAACTATTCCTTTTCTTTTTTTGCTTCTACACTTTGTTTTAATGGCTTGCAATGTACCGATATAAATATTTTTGGTTTCTTTTGAGTTATTTCTTTTTAATCCATCCACATTCAGGGCGCTGCTATGTCTAGAGAAGCATGCCTGGTTTCCAGGCCGATTTTTAACCATGTGAAGATTATTAGATGGCCAATCCCGGCCGATCAACATAGCCGCTCTCGAGTGCAACCCTATGCCGATACCCCTTCCTGTCCGCAGAGAATATCCATATCCATATGCAACAGCAAGTTATTAAGTTATGCACACAACTAGTTTGGCATTAGCCCTTATGAATTGCATAGTTGAGCTGCCTCTTTTAAAGTTTTGCGTTAGTTAACTTTTGATCAAACCGTGGAATGCGCACCCTCTGGTATTTAGTTCCAATGGGCCCTGTTTCCGACAAGTACTTGGCACAGTGGTAGAGTGGTTAATACGTGAGACTCGAACGCGCTGATTTCAGCCTTCTGACATCTCATGCCTTCGGGCGCGTAGGTTCAAATCCTGCCTGTGTCGATTTCTTTTTTTTTTTTTACCCACCTTCTTCCTCTATCTCTACCTCCATATCTATTCTTATTCGGTCTATTAATTATGCTCTTTTGTTGAATGTCAAGCTGCCTCCCAGTAACTAGCCAAGCACCGGAAATGAAGCTGTTTCGTTCCCCGATGCAGCACCCTGAACACCAAACTTCAGCATTATCAAGCCGTGGATGGTCGATCCTCAGCCCGGGCCGTGCCAAATCTTGCCTCTGTCGTCGGAGGGGTCCGCCGTTTCTTCAGTTCTTGTTTCATGCCGCCCACCATGTAACCAAATAGACGTGCTAAAACCATGTTCCTCGCTGTTGAAACGGACCCATCTTGTCGATCGCCTGGGTTTACTCCGCTCTCTGGAGCCATGATGCTCCTATCTGCTCTGCTAATGTGCTCGACCGATGGATCGAAGCATGGGCCAAGACTCTAAATAACCGGTCCACCCCGTACGCACGTTTGCCATTGTGCAGACTCCAGAGACGGGATCGCGATGTTTCGAGCGGCATGAACAGGTTTGACTTGGCAGGCACCCACAGTTACATTGTCTGGCTGTTCGTTTCTGCAAGTCTGGGAGATGAAAGGGTTGGAGGTCCGCCGAGGTGTGATGGAGAAGATCATTCCTCAGTTTATTGTCCTGTCGTTCCCTAATCTAGACCTCAGGGGCTGAATTTCGGAGCTTCTGCGTCTGGGGTATATAATAAGTACCCTTGAACCTGGAGCTTTCTTCCATAGATCTTCTCACTCCCTCTCCTTACCAGACCAGCAAATTGTCTGTGCACCCTCCCCTCACATTCTCTCCCCAGCCCGAAAAAGAGAAGAAAAAAGCCATCAAAATGCGCTTCAACCCTCTGACCCTCCTCCCCCTCTCCGCCGGCCTCGTCGCCGCGCAAAACTCCTGCGAGGTCTACTACCAAAGCGGAACCTGTCTCTCGACTGACGAATGCGCCGCCGCCGGCAAAACCTCTACTCCCAACTACTGCCCTAGCGATCCCGAAGGCATCCAATGCTGCACAGATGTCCCGCACCCAGAAATCCCAGCGTCCAACTGCCAACCCCACGTCATCGAGGCTGGACAGACCATCCTTGCCGCCAACGAGGGCTCCACGCATGTTGTCTGGTGCTATGCGGATAAGTCAGGCGAGCATGGGAAGGGATTGGCTCTGGATTTGATGGTTGGGGTATGTCAATTGTTCCGTTTTTTTTCGGTTTTTTCTGGAATTTGATTGCAAGCCCTTCTTCCATGCAACGTTTATTCCTTAATGACATCCCCCACCCGCTAACATGCATGAAAAAAACTAGTCATACAACCCCAAGGGCGAGGAGCTCGCGACCTGGATCATGAATAACCATGAGAGCCTCAATGTCATGTACATCATCTGGGGCCAGAAGATCTGGAACCCCAGCAATGGCGAGGCACCCACTGAGTGGGCCAACTGGCGGGATATGGAGGACAGAGGATCTGTCACGGCTAACCACTGGTATGTTTTTGCTCCTTTCAAAACTGACTCCCCTGGGGGTTGGGTTAGCTTGGTTTCTTGGACTAACAGCTTGTTCTTTTGTAGGGATCATAACCATATCAGCTTCAATGCTGTTTAAGCCGGGGGTTTTGTTGGATAAAGGGTGATGGAGGCATGGGTGTCCTTTCATAATTATTGATATCCTCGTGATCTCCCTTCTTTGTTCTGTTATGATGTAAATAGTATTTACTTTGAAATGACGTCCACATATGTCTATTTTTTCTAGGAGTCTATCAAGAATATCTACGGCATGATAGGTCCGGTCCGTAAACCAGCCAGGTTCGCTTTACTGGAGGAGGGAGATAGATATTAGCCATACGCCTCCAATAGCTTTGTAATAGTGACATGCTCACACTGTAAAACAACGTACCCAATATCGCGTGCTTGAAGCACTAGAATAAATCAAGGGAAAGGATATATATGTTATTAACTCACAGGCAGCCCTACCGGAATCTTGTGGGACGCTTCGACTGTGTGGACACACTAACTGCGTGTGGAATGGTGGAAGCACCATGGAAACATGTGTGGAAATTAAAAGTTACCGTGTCCAAGCAGTTGATTTTGGATTCCACCATCTCAATGAACCACAAGATTCCGGTATGGAGGGATTCTATGACTATGTAGTCAGTTAAAACAATCCATTGACCAAAACTTGCTACGGAGAGGTATTGGCATGGCACCATAACCAGACCAGTGTTGGTCAATCAGAAAGTTGGGTTGGTGAAGGTGAAGACTACCAACACCCCCCTAGTTAATAGTTTAGACAAACCACCTCCTTTAAAACTTGAACCATTGATATTGAACGTTTGTTACATTCATAGTGCGCTTTTATGGTCAACTCTCTTCTATATTTAAAACTAATTTTCTTTTTTAAAGAACCTGCACGATGGTTTTACACGTTTCCACTGTTGATGGGTTATTCTAGCAGGGGAGCTAATTCCGAGGGTCTGTTGGAATTTTTTGATGGCGGGAAAACAGATATGACTAGAGGTTTACCAAGTTAACTAAACGGGTTACGATGGGTAGTTATTGCTTCACCTTTCTTTCTTGATCATTACAAACTTATACATCTCCACCAGTATGAAATCCCTTCTATCCCCAGCCGCGAGCATAACGCACAAGCCCAATAATTGGCAGGAAAACCAGTACCCCGGGATTTTAATCAGCGCAAGTTGCCCAAGAACTGACGGACACGGCGGGCAGTCGACGGCCGCGGTCCTTTTGATGCGGTCCGCTCAGCAACAAGGTGATACGCCTGCAATGCATTGGTCCTAAAGGCGTGTGTACCCCCCCACAAGAACAGGCGGAACACGCGGTACGTTTCCTCGCCCCATCCCGCTATTATCTCCTCCTTAGCAGCATCAAGTCGCTTCGCCCACTCCAGCATCGTCAGCTCGTAGTCGCGCGTTTCCCTCTCAACATTCACAATCTCGAATCCGTGCAGGAGCAGTTCCCCCATGACGTCCTGGAGGGTCATGAACGTGTGCGTGCCGCGCCAGATATAGTCGCGCGTGAACGCGCTGACGGCGAATTTCTCGACAGCGGCTGAACCGTCGAGATATAGCCGGCCGCCGGGCTTTAGGACTTTCCAGACATCATGGGCGAATCTGCGGTAGTTGGGGATGTGTTCGATGACACCGAACATGACAGCATGGTCGTATGGCTCTTTTGGTTTGTGCTTGAGGAAGTCTTGCAAATGGACCTCGCCGGGCAGGTTATTCTCGGCAATGATGCGCTGGATATGGCGGACTGACCCCTCCGTGAGCGTCAGGGTGGTGACATGCACACCTCGCGCACCGCAGTACTGCGTCACCCCGCCCCATCCACCCCCAATATCGATCAGCCTCATTCCCGGCTTGAGGCCAAGGCTGGCGAACATGGTTTCCATCTTATGTTCCGACGCCTCTTCGATGGTCTCGTCGGGCCGCTGGAACAGGCCCTGCGAGTAGACTCTGAACCGCTTGTCGAGGAAGGTGAGGTAGAGATCGTCTCCGCGGCCATAGTGCTCCGTGACTGCTTTGGAGTTCATCTTCGTCGAGGTCCGGATGTAGTCATATATGAACTGGAACTTTTGGCGCAGGGGTACTTTCTCCCGTAGATGCTCGCGGGCGTCGAAGAGAGCATTCAGGTCTCCCTCTATCTCGATATCGCCTGCGATGAAGGCGCGCCCAACGCTTAGCTCCGTCATTGGTGTGCGGAGGGCCTGCTTCGAGCGGAAAATTACACGGTAGATTGGCTCGCCCGAGGGGCCGACTGGGACGACGGAGCCATCGGGCAGCTGGATCTCTCCTGAGAGGTCCAGGCTAGATAGGAGGGCAGCGAGCCCGGTGCGCGGTAGTAGCTTGGTGGAAGCTTCTGGTGCCATATTTCTGAACAAAATAAGGGGTATATAAATGAATCGCCTGGGAGTGAGTATGGAAGGTTTGGAAGCAGAAGAGACAGCATCGGGCAACGTCTTCAGAGATCAAAACAGAACCCGACGGGAACCCGCGGATAGCTATGCAGCAATGTGGGAGCTGGGTGCAAGGGCTTCTGCATTGGCGAATATGCAACCACCGTCCATCCTGGAGTAGACATAGTCATCACAATCCTGGCCTCTAACAGTGAATTGACGAATTGGATCACTCAGTAGTGATCCCGAATTTTGAGGCCGTAGCACAAGGCAGGGGACACAGCATGGAACTGATGAGATGCTATGCAAGCTTCAGCTTGGTTGACCAGTCAAATATGTGCAAAGATGGAACTAACTGACGAAATGCTGACAACAGGCCTTGGGATTGAGATTCCGCCTGCATATCAAGACTCGAAAATGAGCCTATATATAAAGGAACAATTACCTCCAAGAAACACAATACCAACAAGAGTGCACCGTGAGCAGTGCTGCCTCTCTTAAAGGTGGAAAGGGGTAGGGATCAAACGGACGAGGTTGGATATAGTAGTTACGAAAGCTATGTAGGACCAGCTGGAGAGATCTTATCTATTTACCAGATCTTTAAATAGTAACTACTGTTACCGAGGCACGTTTTAGCCCCTTAGTTAACTCTCTTCGAGCATCTGCCTTCTCTCTAGAAATCAAATCTGTAGCAACGAAATACTATTAAACCCATGCACGGTAGGCTAACTAAAGCCCCGCGAAATTATTTATCGAACAAGTACTAGTTAGCCACTATCCTACTTAAAACCGGTTGAGTGAAACATAACAAAAAAAATATAATATAATAAAAATAAACTCAGATAAGCTTATCTCTTATACGAGGTTTCAGGTGGGAATGATATGATAGACAGCGCGAAAAGGGGCGTGTATTCATGAATTTTATAATTCCCAACCCGCTGAGAAGGGAGGAAAAGGAAGACCTCTCATAGTGGGCAATTAAGTGAGATGTAAGTAGTCACATATATATAATCCTTCTATATAGAAACACACTCCTACATCCATCCATCCATCCATCCATCCACACATACACCCCC